CAGCTGTCAGTGGCTGCATTAAGAATTTGAATTTATTCTTTTTCAAAAATATAGGCAAACTTTGAAAATTCATAAGTACAGTTGTAGATGTCCAAATTGAGTGAACCAAATTTTGTTCGATTCATCATGAAGTGTACTATTTGATAAAAATATGAAAGCTACTGTTTGGGATGTTTTTCCAGGATAATTAAATTGAGCTAGATAAATGCTTTTAAATTGTTTTCAATCTTGTAAAATACATAACTTGAGCTAGAAAAGTGATAAAATTATGATTCCAATTTTGTTGATCTTGTGTTGACATACTCTAGCTAATAAAAATACTAAACCTATAGTAAGCATATTTAGAATATGATCTTCCTATTTAATCTTAAATAATTGCTAGTTTCTAGTGAAAATAAATGGGGTAAAAATACAAAACTAATGATCATGCAAATTTTTACATAGTGATATGGTGCTAGGATGAATGTAAAAAAATATGAAATCTGTTGTTTGACACTTTTTACTAGGCTAAACTATTTTTGCTAAAAGAAGCCTATGCAACTTATCATTTTTGTAGAGATGGTTATTCGTATCCAAATGGCATGAAATTTGTACAGTAGACTTTTGGAGACATATGTAGGCTACTGTAATTTTCTCAGAATTTATTGTGCACTTTGGATATATTTTCCTTATTTCACCTTAGTGTCCAAATAAATTAATAAATGCATTTTAATGATTTATTTTGGCTTGACCATCATGTTTTCTAGAGTGTGTATGATGCCTATGAACTGTTAGTACCATTGGTTGTGTCCAAATTTGATTGCTTGTATGCAGTAAAATATTAATTGCTCTATAATTTAATTATAGTGACTGTTCGGACAGTTTTGGTTGTGAAGTAAATTACATGGGTAAAGTGATGTTTTATGTGAATCTTATCAATAATAAAGTTGTAGATAACTTACTTATCTTGCTTGTTTCAAATTCTCATGGCAATAGGATAAATGGTTTGAGAGTTATAGCTGTTAGAAGTTGGTCTCTAGAAATGCTTATTCTCTAGAATTTCTGGATAGATCTGGGAAATTACTTTGTTTGACCTTAATAACCATCGAATCATCTTGAGATGACTATAAAAAAGTTGTAGGAAGTTTTATAAGATTTCCATAAAGTCCAATATCATAGTATTTGGTTGAGTAGAACTCCGGATATAGCCAAAATAATTAGCTCCTGTTTATAGCAGGAAATGACTAAGTCAATTATAGTTGTTTGTCTTATGTGATACTTGTGTAGATGCTTAGGCTAATTGAGATTAGTTGTTAGTTGCAGGTTCTAAGCCTCTTACTGATAATGAACAACTATACCTTAGGTTACTAGAACTTGGTGACTGTATGTTTCTTGTATTATAGAAGAGATATGCACCTACTCCGTAAAGATCAATTAGAAGAAAGTTATACATCTACCTTGCCAACGAATGTTAAACTTATCCTATACCTTGTAGATAACCATGCTCATGCATATACAATTTATCATATCATCTCATCTCTTATGCATTCATGATACTCATTGTGCATATGCATGCAATAGGTTCCTCGGAAGGAGTGACGCTCCTCGAGTTCGAACCCGAGCATCAGGAGGAGCAACAGGCAGCCTAGGAGTAGGAAGTTCAGGCAGAAGGAGTCAACATGGAAGATCTTCCTAAGTGTCCTGACCACCAACCTTCCTCTTTCTTGAAAGGCAAGCCCCGGAGCATTATAAGCCTCCTATGTTTTTACAAATATCACTTGTGTCCTTTATGTTTGATGCATTATGTTATAGGAGTTGATTGGAAACACTTGCTGCATATATTATCCTTGTCTAGACAAATATATCTTGAATCCTTTGTAGGTCCAGGATCGAATATATGCTTAGCCTTGCTTAGCTCAGTAGAAGTCGGGTGATTTCCTATCACCTACAAGATATAGATAGATATCTGATCACGGTTGGCTATAATTGCTATCGTGGAAATAACCATGTGTTGAGGAATAAAAAGGAGACTGAGTGGGATTGTGATAGAGAAGCAACAAGACATGGAGGTCTTGGTGCCTATTTATCCCCGTCTGTGTTAGTTAAGGACCGATTCGTTGTACGTCCTCATGTTATATTGAACGCATGCCTAGCACTTAGTTGGCCGGATAAGCCAAGTAGCTTAATTCAGGCTGGGCCCCGGTAAGTGAAAGTGCGCACACTAGAGACAGTAAGGATGTGCGGAGAGCCAGTGATGTGAGTCCAAGGGTAGGCCGGGCCTAAACTTCCTGGCAGACTAGTAGAATCTTTGAGGGTGTGGCGCTGATCGGACCCGCGAAGTTGGTTCCTGAGTTGTACCAAAGGTGACCCAATGTGACCCCGACGAGGGAAGTATAGGTTTATGTTAGGAATAATTCCCCAACTAGGTAGGAATCAATTCGAATCGTCGTCTCTCCCGCATAGTGAGAACTTGACTGAGCAGCGGCAACGTAGAGTAACTTACTGGAAACTTGATGGTTATGATGATGTTCAAATTATTACATCGGATATGGTTACTAATGCTTGTTATCTTAATCAAGTGATTGCACTAATATAGGTGCTAATCTAGAGATGATTAATTGAATAGTTATTCAAATTGATGCTAGAGGTACTAAATCTCCAAGTTATGTTACTTAAGCTTTTATGCAAAATGTTGTCAAGCTAACTCCACCGATAAAGCCTTGCATACTCCTTGGTATCATATTATTTTTGGTTTATAATGGATAAGTCTAGCTAGAGCATTTCTCCATATTCCATTCGATAAGTTTCAATTGGAATGACGGCGAGTCGTTACGTCCTTTCCTCCTTGCAAAAAGCTCGCCCTCAAGCTTGCCTAAGAAGTCAGTGGGGTTTGCCCACAACAGATAGCCCCTGACAGTCAAAGCGTCAGGGCCCGCAAAGTCAGGCAGCACCCAAGGCTCCCCTGACTCCATGACAACGCCATGGTCCATCCACACCACAGCAACACCCTCCTAGAGTACGATGCACGTAGACTATAGAGTAAAACCCCTGAACCGCATTGTACCCGACCTTTCTCGATATATAAGGGTGAAGGTCGACACCAAGAGGGGGAGGCCAAAATAGAACACTCCATAGCATTCTGAGCTCTGCCCTGAGAGCAAAGCGAATCGAGAGCAATGACCGAGCGTTCCTCCCATCGGCAACCCAGTGAGTGGTCAGAGCATTCCCCTCCCTTGCTAGGGAAGAAACCTCACCACCAACGAGCCATAGGATAGAACTGAGCAATCCCCTGCCAAATCTCTATCTCTTCCATTGTAACCACCGATTTGGGTGCTCTCGAATACAAAAAACAACCACCGCTGGACGTAGGGCTTCGATAGCCTAAACCAATACATCGTCGTGTCTTCTCTTGTGTTCTTGAGTCCACTCGAGTCATCGGAGACCCACACTCAGTAACACTCAACGAACAACGATCCTTGCCACGGCATCAAACCTGCAATACCTGCTAGGGCCTTGGATGCCTAGCGGGTTGGCCATCTCTCGGGACGTCGGTTACTGAGCGTTGGCTCGGGTTGGTGCCGGTGCTAGATTAGGCTTGGGCTACCGTCGCTCAAGAATCCTAGGGCCCTGGCGAGCCCTTGAGCCTTGAGCAGCGGCCATGGGCATTCTTGAGCTTAGTCTAACTCTTACAAAAGGGTGCACGTGAGCGTACCCAATGGGTATAGCCCCTAAGTGATCCTGAGGGATCGGTTGGGGGTTCTTTGGTTGGGAGCCTTTCTTCTAGGGACTTAACATAATCCTATGTTTGACTCTCGTCAAAAGCCCCTGAGCCCTTTGTGCCCTTTGGGGTCATGCCCATGATGGCGATGAAGGGCTAAAACCTATCTTTTATGACTTGGTCGGTAGCCATGGCCGTGGCCTTCTGACGTGGGTCGGGTGCCCTTCTGGGGGTACCCAAGCTCTTGGTCAGGGTGCTTGGCTTCAGCACTGAGCAATACTTGTTTGTAGCGCTACATGAGGGGGAGCCCAAGCGAAGGCCTGGCTGACTCGTCCACACACCCCTCCCTCTAACGCTCGGTGCAATCGCTTAATGGTGTTTGATTGCTGCGTCAGTTGTTAGAGTTAAGGCGTGCGGCATCCGCGCTGCTCTGCACCCTGTGAGGGGCGAGGGGCTGTGCCACGTGGCATAGATCTAATGAAGGGCCGTAGTGCTTTTGGGCTCGCATGCAGATTTGAGCCATCGGAGTAGCTCAGGGGGACTCGAGGCGAGGCATGCCACCTAAGGTCCTATGTCATGGCACACGCACGCAGAGGGTGCCGCTTTCGTCGGGAAGCAGTGTGAGTAGATGGTATGGGGCATGACTGGTTACCAGCGTCCCATCAGACTCCGCTTTTGTTGGGCGTGTGGCTCGAGAAGCTGAAAGGGGTCGAATCAGCTCCCAGGCCCTTATCTGTGTCGTTGATGGTCGATTGGAGGGCTGACGCTGCTTGTGGCCTTGCACCCTAGGCTATAAATGGCCTCGAGTCCCAGTGTTCTCCCTCAGAGCACCACCAGTAACTTCTTCCTCCAGATCTACCTTTGCCAAGCCATGGCCGTAGCGCATGAACAAACATTGTCCGACCACACACACTATGGCTAAAGGTAGAAGAAGAGGGAGAACAGAGCATACACACATAGTACAAGCACCAGCGTTGGCCGGAGCCCTGTATAAAAGATGGCAAATCTGAACTCTATCCATCTAGTCCTAGTACAGCTACCATATTGCAACAGTGACTAGATAACACAGCAGGACTGACTTCTGCGCCTATCCCTGCATGTGGCTACAATACGGTAGGTGAGCCGTTCGGCGCCTGCGTCTACAGCGGGTATAGTACCACAGCAGAGAGCCTTTTCGGCACCGCCTTCTCTTGCTGTGTATTCACATAAGGAAGCAGTACATTATCTAACATGGTTATCGTTGTGATAAACTAGTGCGCCCTTTTTGTTCTTCCTCCTCTTGGAAACCAAGAAAACAGCCAGCATGGCAAACATCAAGCCCGTGATTGCTGCACCAGCAATGGCCGCAGCAACATGGCTACTGTCTACTCTTGTTGATGTGCTCCCACCGCCACCATTGGACACGCTAGTATTGGCTTCTTGGGATGACGATGCAGAACCCGTGACGCTGTTATTAGACATCACAGTGACACCAAGTGCGGTGGACACTAGCCCGGGTGGTGGCAGTGCTCCCGGCGGGCTATTATTCGACGACATAGGGACAAGAATTATGACCACCAATTGGTTTGTCGGCGGCGCAGGCGATGCAGAATAAGAAGATGGTGGTGGACTACGTGGAGAATTCGAAGGTTGGGAATTTGGTTGATCAACATCGCTCTGATGTGGAGATGATGGAGATGACTGAGGAGGAGATTGTCTCGACGACGATGGCGACCCGCCTGGTGTGGGAGGGACCTGATTAGAGGACGAAGACGAAGGCAGTGGAGGCGAAGGTGAGGAGCCTTCTGACCGTTGCGGAGGCAACGGTGACCTGCCCGGTGGTGAAGGTTCTGAAGGTGGATTTGGTGGTGGTGAGGACTTTGAATCGCCACCGCTCCAAGAAGATGGTGAAGGTGGTGGGCTTGGTGATGGTTGTGAGGGCGGTGGAGGTGACGATCGTGATGGCGGAGGGCTTCCTAAGGGTGAAGGAGGGCTAGATGACGATGAACCTTGCGAATCTGATGGTGGCGTTGATCTTGAGCCTCCCGAGATTGGAGATGGTGGTGGGCTAGACCAGCCATTACTCGATTTAGGGGGTGAGCTTGAACTTGAACCGCGTGGTGGAGGAGCCTTGGAATTGTTGCCACCTCCATTTCCTCCTTCACTCGATGACGATGAACTCGGCGATGGTGCTATGTCAGACATGCTCTTTTTCTTAGATATGCCTCCTTTATTAGTTGAAGATCCAAGTTGGCTTATGTACCTTTGACGCAAAAAACATCAAGCAGCTTGTCCTGATGAACTTGAGATCTTTCTTAGATTCCTTTGCTCCTCAATGTGCACTGCAATCATCAAACTTCTTTCTCCCCATTCTCTTCTAGTACAGGTCAGCATCTAACATCTTCTTGAATACCTTCACATTTGCTCTTGTCGGGAGATTTGCCAATCTTCACAGTGAGCCAACACAAACTCCAAATTTTACTTGGTAGCCTGAAACTACAGAGAAGTGATTTTGTTGTTGACGAAGTAAGAAAATGTAAGGAAAAAATTTGCAACTCATCAAGAGGCATGAAAGATGCGTTTTTGTCATCAAATGCCTAAGATTAGGAGGATCCATGAGAGTCTAGAGCAACAAAAAGATCCAACCTAATTAAGGAACAAATATTATCTATTTAGGCATTTCCCTTCTTAGCTAGCCTCAACGGGTAAAATGTGAAAGCTCGAAGATAGAAGGGAAAATAGCACCAAATTATTATGGCAACTGCTCCGGTACTCCCTTGTTAAAAAATGACACGAATCTTAAAGCAGGTAATTAAAGAAATTAATTATTTTACATTATATTGCACCTGGGTCCCGCCTGGACCTAGCCCGTCCAAGAGCAACCCGAGCCCAGCCCTAATCCAGATGGGAAGAAACGTCCGAGAAGGTCTTCGTGACTCCGTCTGCCGCTGTTTCACGCGTCCAGCAACACTCGATGGCCACTCCTTCCCGGATCCCATTTCTTCCTGCGGTAAGGACTATGGCGCCGCTAAAGCCGTTGAGGAAGAAGACGACATGCCACCGACCGAGGAAGGCGCCCGCCGGCGCCCCGTCGCAGGAGGCGCCTGTCCGGGCCCCATTCATGACACCGCATGCGACACCGGCCCGCCCGCGCCCCTGTCCGGGCCCCCCTCGCGCCTATGAGCCGACGGCAATTCCCAAGCAGCGGCGGCCATGGCACTGGCCACCGCACCCCCATCGCCCCCATCGTGCCTCCTTACCCCTTCATCCGCGCCCCCACCGCACCACACGCCACCGGCCGCCGCGGCGCAGGGCACACCGGCTGGGGGAGGCGGCCGTCTGCGCCTCCATGGCCCCCAGGCGCCACCGGCCGAGGGAGGCGCCCGCCCGCGCCCTGCCGCGTCACCGGACGGTAGGCGCCTGTCCGCGCCCCGCTCACTCCAACGAGCCGCCGGCGCCCCTGTGATCCGGGAGCCACCAGGTTTGGCAGCTCCTCCCCCTTCTCCTCCGATCCCATTTCGTTGTGCTAGTAGCGGCATGGAAGTCGTCGCCAACTGCTGTCCGTTTTTGAAGTGTGCGAGGATCACCAGCGCGACGGCCGTGCCATGGACGGTGCTGCTAGCCCCGCCGATGAGGCAAGGGCCATCCAAGCGGACGAGAGGGCATGGAAACCAGGTACGCATCATGCTTTTGCATCCATTTTGTTGAGGTTGCACACATGGTTTGAAATTGTAAGGCTAAAGCTGAAATATCCTCTTATCAGGGATACGCTACAAGAATCTGCTATGGACAACATCGGTGATGCTGGATATGAGGAGAATTTATTCTTCGATCTTGGGACCGGTGATGATAGTAGTTCTGAGGATGGTGATGATAGTAGGTTAGATGATACGGATACCTCTACGGATACAAGTTCTCCATCGAAAGGCAACCATTCCGGCGGTGGCAAGGCCAACTATATGGAAAGGTAAATCAATCGCAATATTACTTTTGTGCAACTGATGTCCAATTTAGTAATGTATGATGTCAAGTATTGAGCGAAACATTATCCATTTTCATTTGCAGGAAGCTGGCAATGTCGATTATGACAAGGAAATGTTCGGAAGTGCCGCAAATGTTGGGGATAGGTACAAAAAAATGGATGAGTTATGGAGCATAGCAAATAAGACTTTTGCAAGTGAAGAGGAGGCATTCACATTCTATAATAATTATGCGAGGGACAAGGGTTTCATTGTTAGAAAGGAGAAAGTGAGACGTAGCAAGCAGTCAAGGGCAATTGTGTTCAGGCAGTTTGTGTGTTGTAGAGAAGGGGAGCGAGATGGAAAATGGCTGGACAAGGAGGATTACAGCCGTAGACCACGAGCCCTAACTCGATGTGATTGCAGTGCATTACTTGATATTAGACTACATAGATCTCGTGGAGTTTGGTACGTGAATAATTTTGTGGATGAGCATAACCATCGCCTAGCAATGCCTGATGAACTTCCGTTCCTATGGTCTCACCGGAAGATTAAGGATTTCCATAGAAATGAGATCATGTCAATGGAAGCTGCTGGAATCCGTAAACATGTCATAAGAGATGTTCTTCAATGCAGATATGGAGGATATTACAAAGTTGGCATTGTTACTAAGGATATTTACAACTATTGTTCTAAGAACAAGAGGTCAAGAATCGCAGAAGGTGATGCAAGGACAGTTCTAGGTCTCATGCTGAAGAGGAAGAACAGTGATCCAGATTTTTATTTTGATTATAAAGTCGATGATGACAATCGTCTGATGAGCTTATTTTGGTGCGATACTCAATCTCGTATGGACTACCAATCATTTGGTGACGTGGTCATCTTTGACAGCACTTATTGGATGAACAGGTATAAGATGCCACTTGTCCCATTCGTTGGGCTCAACCATCACCGCAACACAACCGTTTTTGGTTGTGGCAGCATTTGTGATGAGCGCGCTGATTCGTATGTATGGGTGCTCCAAGCATTTCTGAAAGCAATGTGTCGGAAGAAACCACAATCAGTAATTACTGATGGCGATTACTCCATGATTAAAGCTATTCGGCAAGTGCTTCCTGGTGTAAGTCATCGCATCTGTTCATGGCATGTGGAGAAAAATATTCTGAAGCATTTGCATAGCAACTGCTTGGATGGGTTCCGCACACTTTTGTATTATGCTAGTTCAGAAACATTTGAAGCTAGATGGAATGCCTTTCTTTCCAAGTACGAGACTGTAACAAATAGAGATTGGCTTGTAATGATGTACAAGAATAGAAAACTATGGGCTGCTGCTTTTCAATGTGACAAGTTTTTCCTGGGTATGAAAAGTAACCAGAGAAGTGAAAGTCTCAATTCAAGTCTTCACAGGCACCTGGACATATATATGTCATTACTTGACTTGGTTGAGCACTATGAGAACTGCGTATCGCTCCTTCGTGAAACTGAGGTTGAATATGATTGCAGATGTTCACAGTCGCAGCCAGTGCCTTTAACAAAACACAATGAGATTGAAGTGGCTTGTTCCCGTATATTTACGGCTGCTAACTTTTATATGTTGCAACATAAATTATTGAAGATTAATGATTATCATATACAGGACAGGATTATTGCTATGGATTCATCAAGATATTTTCTAGTACACAATGAGAAGAACAAATCAGTGTTTCTGGTGGACTACTGGTCTGATACTTCAGGTGACATAATTCAGTGCAGCTGTCGTAAGATGGAACATGACGGTCTCCCTTGCACTCATATTTGTCATATATTGGATCATCTAAAAATATATGAAATACCAAAGTGCTGTATGTTGCAACGACACTTGAAGGACGCCAAGGGTGGCCTTCCTTACAAGCGCAAAAGCACTCTATATGTTTGGTGGCTATGTTCTATTGAGTTCATTTGTTACCTTATAATGGTTTCTTAGCTTTGTTTGAGACTCATGTCCTATTTTGGTTTAGAAATAAGATTAGGCTGAATGGTTTGTTAGGAGTTGGAACTCGAAGTTGCTGTTATTTGGTGGCAGATTTTAAATTCTTCTATCTCGAAACATTTCTACACTTGTGATTATGATTTGCCTTCAACCTGTGCGTTTGAGGCTCCATGTTTATGCTATTTGGTGACAAATTTTAAATTCTTCTATCTGGAAACGTTTGTACACTTATTGATTATGCTTTGGCATCGACCTGTGCATTTGAGAAAGTAGCATTCAGGATGCAGACCACAATCAGGCACACAGGTACAATGACTCGCCTTCAAACACATACCTTGTTCATCTACCAGCACTGCTCCCAGGATCCAGATGCTATACACTATGCCAGATCAAGTCTCCTCACCTCCAAAAAAGGCTGGCCTGGGAATCTTCATCATCAACACAGGAACGAATCCTCCACAAAATATCTACATCAAGGCAGCAATTGCAGACTGTCTCGGTGGTCATGGCAGAGGCACCAGCCATGGCGCTTGCCGCTGCTGTCACTGAGAGCCTGCATTTCCACAACATCAACTTCCTATCTGACAATCAAGAACTTGTCAACTTCTTCAATAACAGAGATAGGTCCACGCCACCTGACTGGAGGATCAAGCATCTCACACAGAACTTCATCAACTCAACAATGCAGAGAAACACAAGTGTCTTCAAGATAAGAAGAAACCAAAACCAAACTGCTCATACATTAGCAAAACAGGCATTTGTAGGGATTCAATCCCAGCCAACGAGTCTATCATTCAGTTGTTCCAACAGAAGCCATGTCCTACAGTGCCCGTTAAAGGATGCACTGACCTCTGTAGTTACAGACTCTGTAACCATTCTATCAGCTTCATGCTGTTGAAATAAAAGTGTGCTTGTTGTCAAAAAAAAGTTTAGATATCGATAAGATGGAGCTCTTATGACCACCAAAATGCACATTGTAGGCCATGGCGTCGCAGCTGCAGGAACACAACAACATTCACATGAACTTTAGCTACTAGTACAAGGAACGGTAATATTGAGAGTATCTTCTGCTAGTCTGACGATTGTAAAAAACTTCACAATGATCTTGAAACGCTCCGTCTTGAGCCGCTATACTTTTGTTTTTCTTCTATATACTTCTCTGCTCTTACGCAGTGCAGGTGCAGAGCGGCAGGGGCTCGCCGTTCCACTCCTTGAGGCACTCGAGCAGCGGGTCGATGTGCTTGCGCTGGTTGATGGCCACGAGCACCTTGTTCAGCACCTTGAGGCACTCATGTAGGAGCTGCCTTCCAAGATGTGCTCCATGATCGCGGCAGCCTCGATCTGTCCTGGGTGGTGCTTCAGCTTGTGCGTCAGGTGGTCAGTGAACTCCAGCTTGTCGGTCATGACCTCCCAGAACACCGCGGAGATGACCTCAGCCATGATGGCGAGCACGTTGGCCTCAAAGAGCACGGTGGACGCGAGGCCATAGCCCACTGCGGTGCCGTTGACCATGGCGAGACCTTCCTTGGGCTGCAGCTCGAAGAAGCCGTGCTCGATGCCGGCGATCTTGAACGCCTCGGCGGCATCCACCATCCGGCCATCGGGGGCCACCGCGACGGAGTTCTAGCGGCCCGTGAAGAGGCCGGCAATGTAGGAGAGCGGGACGAGGTCACCCGACGCGGTGATGGTGCCCCGCAGCGGCAGGCACGGCGTGACGTTGGCGTTGAGCAGCTTCGAGATGGCCTCGAGGATCTCGAAGTGGATGCCGGAGTAGCCCCGCCGGAGCTCCCTGGCGAAGAGCGACTCGGGCGCCTCCGCCTCCTCTTCCTCCCCCTTCCCTCCCTCCCTGTCGCCGCCGGCGCGGCACCTCACGACGCGGAGGCGCAGCCGCGCTGGCGGCCGTAGCGAAGGGGATGCGGTGGTGGCGGCGGAGGCCGGCGGCGGGCGGGTGGCACGGATCTCGTCACGGTCGGCGCCGCCGAACCTGGCGGCTCCCGGTTCATAGGGGCGCGGGCGGCTCGTCGACGCGAGGGCAGAGAGAGATGGGATCAGATCGGCTGGTGGCATGGCGTCTTCTTCCTCAACATCCTTGGCAGCGCCGCCCTGGTCCTTGTGGCAAAGCTCGAAGAAATGGGATCGGGATGGGATCGACCGGAGGAGTAGCGAGCGCGGAGCGACGGCTGTGCTGTAACACCCTAGCTGCATAACTTGACTGGCATAGTACGAGCATGATCATTAAGCATTCATATATAAGCATTTATACTTGAAACATTTAATTGAAACATGTGTAATATTTCTTAGTATTTAATGCTTTCATATGAATATACATATGATTATGAGTGTATACATGTGATTGGTTGATATGAGTCAAAAAAAAACATGTTAGCAACACTTAGGTTAGCAAATGGAACATTGTTCATGAATGTCACCTTTCATGATCAAGCACTCAAGTAATGTTACATGTGTTGACCTAGATAGCTTTATGTGCAACTAATGTATGAAATGATTGTGTGACCTTGCAAATAGTTTAAACATGTTTAGAGTATCATTATGAACAACTTTGGTATTAATGGCTAGGGCTAAATGAGTCACTAAGTCATAGTTCATGTATGAGTCATCTTTTTAAGGAAGCATGTTTGACCAAGTTTGAATCACATGCTAGAGACTTTGCATGTAGGTGGTCACTAAAGAAAAGTTGTAGTATTTGTCATGGGGAACAACTTTTATCTTTGGGTCATGAACTAATAATGTGCATAGCTTATTCTTTTGGAGCTCACAAAAATCATCAAGTCAACAATTTTCAACACTTAGCCAATTCTGCTAAGTCTTGTACCCTAACCGTGCTGACAGCCGACCTTTGGGATGATATTACTCGCTTTTTTTTGTTGCTAATTAGCACTTGATCCTTTAAGAACAAATGGAGCTGGTACATGGAGCTACAACTTTTGTTTAGATCGTTGGCGTTAATTCTTCACGGTTTCGAAGATCCAGCTCCATGTAAACACGCTGTCAGGCTAAGCCTCGCATAACTGAATGAACGGCATCGCTGACTCGGTGGCCGACCGTCGCTGAGACAGAGCAGCAAGCGTGGAGGAGGAAATGGCCGCAGATCACCGCGGCCTCGCCCAAAGGCGGGCAGAGCAGTCGAAGCACACTACATCAAGTTTCGCGACTTCGCCAAGACCGCCTCAAGGCTTCCCATTTCGCTCGCTTTCTCCTTCACCGCAGCACAGCAGCCGAAAGTGTCCGCCGCCATCGCCGTGCCGCAGACGCTTCCGAACTTCGCTTACGCCACCACCGCGCTCCATTCGCCAATCAATCGCGCGCGCAGACTTCGCCAACCATCCCCACCGTTTCCACCTTGCAACGCCCCATCTGTGCCCTAGGTGAGCCGTGTTTAGCTTTTTTGCGCCGTCAGCGGTACGCCCGCCTCGTGCCGCCATGGTATGGCCGCGATGGCCGTGCTTCTTCGAGCAGCTCCCATCGTCAGGTTGCTTAGTCACGCCGCAGGGTTGCCGTAGTTCTCAGAGATCACGCCGCTTGGCTTCGCAGTGGTCGGAACGGCCGCAAGACATCGCCGAAAGCGGCCGCCGTGTGCCGCCATGGCCGACTAACCGCCGCCCTTCACGCCGGTGATTCACCCGCCTAGATAGCCTAGTGTGCGCAAGGTCTAGAGGGTCACCGTAGACTAGGTGTCGTCATTGGTGAAGCTCGCCATCGATTTGTCAGTGGTGGGTCAACAAAGATCGTTTCAAAGGTTGGCCGCCTCGCTTTGTTTCTCACCGACGCGGGGGTCAAATGACCGGTGGACCCCAGTTGCCAGCGACTATAGGGCAGAAAGATAGTGCGTTTGTTTCCTGTGTTATGTGCAACTTTGAAAATTTATAAGTGGAGCTGTGTAGATCATAAATTTGTGAACTAAATTTTGTAGTGTTCCTCAGGAAGTGTAGTATTTAGAAAAAATATGATATTAGCAAGTTCAGTAGAAATTTTGGGGGATTTAAATGGAGATTTGAAATGTGTTTTTGAATGCATGCAAACTTGTTTATTTTATATCTAGAGTTCCTGTGCTCCAAAAATTATGAAAATTTTATGGTAAGCTATTCTTAACATGTATGAGCTCTGGTAAAAAATTTGAGGATCAGTGCATGCATAGATTTGTAGTTATAGATTTTCCTTTTATAATTAGGAGATCCTTGTATGAATTTTTATAAATTATTTAGGAATCCAATATTCATGAAATTTGTTGGAAGATATCCTAGTACCATATGTATGCTAAGAAAAATATAAACTCTGTTGCTTGACACATTTCACTAGGGTTTTCTATTTATGCTATTTCAAGCCTTGCTGCCTTGTCATTTTTGTATAGGATGTTTTACTTGGTAATGGCATAAAACTTTTATAGTAGTCTATTGGTAGCACTAGTAAGCCACTGTAATTTTCTGAGAATTTATGATGCACATTTGGTATATGTTTATTATTTAACCTATGTATCTAAATAAAATAATAAAGGCATATAAAGAAATAGTTTGGGCTTCACCATTATATTTTCTTGGATGTATTTGGTATACTTAAACTGTTGGTAGACTTTGTGTTGTCAAACTTTGAATGATTACATGAAGTAGAAGTATTATTACTTTGTAATGCGAATTGGATGGATTCCAGACAGATTCTGGAGTTTGATGAGTTGCATGATAAAAATGATGTTTGCTGTAAAAATAGTTAATAACAAAGTTGTAGATAACTTCATCATATGTCTTGTGTTAAAATTTCAGGACCATAGGTCAAACGGTTTAGGAGTTACAGCTGTTTAAAGTTAGAATTTCTGAATTGCTTGCTCTCTAGAATTTCTGGACAGCACTGGATTGATTGTCTGTTTGGGTTAAGATAAATTGTGAATTAGCTTTTGGTGATTAAATAAGAGTTGTAGACAATTTTATAAGCTTTCCAGAAAGTCTAAGATCACAGCATTTGGATAAGTAGAACTTCAGTTATAAGTAAAACAAGCAGCTGCTATTTTGTGTGTAGTGAATGATTTGTAAATGTGTTTGATTAAGTAATCAAGAAGAGATATGCACCTACTCGGTAAAATATGATGCATTTGTTAACACCATGCTGTTGAGAATACTTATACGAATGCATTCGTCATGTGTCATTATTTTATACTTGTACGCATGTATGCATTCGCAATACTGTCAGTGTTTCGTACAAGCACCGGCAAGTAAATTTATAGTAATGCGCGTTAGGCTCGGATGGTGCGCTAAAGGACACAAGATTTGTACTGGTTCGGGCTGAATTTCCCTACGTCCAGTTTGTTGCTGCTTGTGTTATTAGCACCATGAGTGGTTCATAGTAGGGGATACAAACGATCAAGAGAGGGACAGGTCACAAGTCTCTGATGGAAGGGTCGAAAGGAAGTCGAGAGCTTGGTAGTAGCTTGACTATGTGTGTGTCGCCTTGTTTTTTTGTCCGTCGTCTTTCTGGAGGAGGCGCATCCCCTTTTATAGATGAAGGGGATGGTTTTACAAGGGTCAGTGGCTTAGGATCCGTGCTCTACCTAGCCTCCTTACCCATTCTGATGGGTGCGAAAGGAAGATAAGCGCCTACAATAATGTCGATGCTTCTGTAGAATGTTAGGATGGTTACAGAATAGTGCCCTGCGCAGGGCATGGGCTGGAGTACAGTGGTTTTGACTTATGAACCTCGCCCAGCCTTGCTCCGCATGCCTTCTGGCCCTATGAGTCTCTGTCGTAGGGACGCGGAGTCGAGGTCGGAGTAGCGCTGTGGGCAAGGTCCTACGATTTGGTGGACCCGAGGGGTCGGGAAGCGGGCGCCGCTCCCTTGGGTCCATAATGTGGTGACGGCATGTCCGTCATTCATGGAGATTACAAATCCTTTTCTGGAGTATAGTGGTTGTCGTGTATCTTCATCGGGTCCCATGTCCTAGAGCTGAAGGCGGCGCCTACAACTCTACAGGGCGAGGAGTACGCGCCTGCAATCCTTTTGGGCTCTGCGATGCCTGGGAGGGTCTAGAGCACCTGTCCAGTCGTTCCCTGGCAGTACCTTTCCTACTGGGGCGCAGGGTATGGTCCTTGAAGCCGTGGTTGACCCGAACGTCTTGTCTTGCATTGTACTTGTCATCATGAGGGGATGGGAGAGAAGTTATCAGGTAAGATAAAACCAGCCTTTGGATATCGATCGGGGCGAGGTTCGTCCTTGGTCGTCGGGCTAGGCAGAGTGTATTCCTTAGCCCTCGGGCGAGACGGAGGCCAGCCCTTTGCCCTCGGGAGAGGCGGGGCTGGCCCAAAGGCGTCGGGCGAGACGGAGGCCAGCCCCTTGCCCTCGGGGGGGTTGGTCCAGAGGCGTCGGGCGAGACAAAACCTAACTTTCGTCATTCGAGCAAGGAACGCAGCGGCGCCCTTGTCCGTCCAGAAGTTTTTAACGTTCGATGGTTATTGGTTCCACCTTCTGGGGTTTTCTGGTATTAGGTCCCCGACAGTAGCCCCCGAGCCTCTAGGTGATTCGGATAGAACCGCCTGGAGGGTGTTTTTCGATTTCATCAGAGTCATTTCGCCAGAGGGTGCATGCGAGCGCACCCGTTGGGTGTAGCCCCCGAGCCTCCAGGTCATTCGGATAGAACTGCCACGGGGGTGTATCGGACACTTCGCGGGTAAGGCCGAAGGACTTGGTTTTTTCGTCAACTAGATATTTTTTCGAAGGGGTCGTGGTATCCCGTTCGCGGGGATCCCATTCAGGGCTGACCTAACTTGGGCTTGACCATGGATCGAGATCCCAGTAATGCCTGCGCCCTTGATTTTGGATCGTTTCGTGGACCCGCCCTTAGTTGGGCCGGCCGTCGAGCTTCTGGGCCCTAGGCGGGCCAAAATAGAAAAAATCTTTGTGACCTGCCTTCCCCAGGCGGGAAGGGAGTCCGGATTCACCTGGAAGGCGAACCGTCCACCGTGATTCTCGATGGGAAGGGATAGGGACTGCAGGCGCGTGTCCCGCGACTTGACGCGGTGGTGCGCGTGGTAGGCCCGGAGATCGAGGCGGACGGTTGCCCTTCT